TCAGGGAGGAGCAGTGTGGTCTAGGTAGAAGGGTGTGAGGGAAGGGCAGAGGGTTGGAGTGGGGCTGGGGCTGGCAGATACTAATGGCTGAGGGAAGGGACAGCTGAGAGCATGACAGCGAAGGGGGAGGGTGGCACAGGTGTACTGGGGGGGGAGGGGAGCTATAGGGTTAATCCAGGGACTGAGAGGGGGAGGGGGTAGGAAGTCCTCAGAGAAGTCCAGAGCCACTATCACTGAGGCTGGGATTGGGGGACATGTCATGTCTGCTCCTATTGTCTGCTTCTTGGGGTTCCTCTTCGGGCTTCCCCCTCGCCCAGTCACTCCCCAGGAAGAGCCCAGTCCTTCCTTTCCCCCGTGTCTGGCCTCCCTCGGGATTGGGCAGGTAGGGAGGTCGGGATAGGTGAGTCACACCTTCCCTTGCCCCCTCCCATGTCACTGAGCTAGATTTGGGGCTGGCAGGGGGGGGTGAGGGCATGGTATTCCTGGCTGCGGGGGCGGTGGGCTGGGGGAGCGTGGCGCTGACGACAATGGAGCCCAATGACGGTGCTGCTATAAATAGCTCTGTGGAGGCTCCCACACCCGAGCTCTCCCTCCTGCTTTTCTACTGCTCTCTACTCTTCATCCCTAGCCATCCTCATACTGCTCACTCGCCTGTTCCTATTCCTGGGCCTGGGCCCCCATCCCTGGCTCCCTCAGCCCCTTTCTCTCCTCTCCCTGTATTTCCTTCCGTCTTATTATTCCCATCTCTGTTCCCATGTCCCTCTCTGCAGTTGTACCTCCTCACCTTCTCCCATCCTCTTATTTCTGCACATGCCTTTGCCTCCCCCTTTTCTCCTTCCTGCTCCAGCTCCCCCTCTCCCCCAGTCCCCATTTCAGTCTCTTCATTGTCACGTTCTGCCTGTAGCTTCCTCCTATTTATTGCGAGTCCCCCTCTGAGTTTCCCCGGGCTGCTGTAACACATGACCGTAAACCCCGGTTCTGCTAGAGCCCTCTTACCTCATTCATTCATTCTCTGAATTATTGGATGTTGTGTAAGCACTAGCGTGTGCCAGGCCCAGGTGAACATCTGTGCACTCTGGTTCTTTACCTCCACGTTTCCTCCCTCATTCCGAGGCTCTGGATGTTGGAGGGCACCTGGAGGTGTCCCAAGCCCACCTGTTCGCCTCTGTTCTCTGCCGTGGTCCAGTTCTGGATTGAGATATTCCTCAGTGTCCCCAGACCTCACAACCCCTTAGGTGTGACTTGAAGGCGAGGGGATTTCTTTAAGGAGCCTTGCTTCTCTCACACCCCTCATATCCTTCCCCAGGGATAGGCTGGTTTCTTTCTGTCTGTCTGTCTGTCTGTCTGTGTCCATGTGGGAAGGGAGTTCAGGAGGCACTTTTCCCCAGCCTCCATCCTGATGACGCAGGCCCTGGTGTGTAAGAGTTGTGGGGCCCTGATCCTCTCTCCTGACCCTCCCGCCCGCTAGGGCCCGGCTGATGCAGAGCTTTAAGGAGTCACATTCTCACGAGTCCTTGCTGAGTCCTAGCAGTGCAGCCGAGGCCTTAGAGCTCAACTTGGATGAGGATTCCATTATCAAGCCAGTGCACAGCTCCATCCTGGGCCAGGAGTTCTGTTTTGAGGTATTGGGTCTGGTTTGCTGGGCGATGGAGGGCGAGGACAGCGAGGCCCCCAGAAAGTGGCCTCGGTGGGGATGTGGAGAAAACCGAAACCTTGGGGGCTGGAGAAAGGCGGGGAGGAGGAGATGCTGGTGGAGTCTCCAGTCCTCAGGAGTCATCTCCCCTCTTCAGCCCTGTCTCAACTCCACACCCCTCTCCAGGTAACAACGTCATCAGGAACAAAATGTTTTGCCTGTCGTTCTGCGGCCGAAAGGGACAAATGGATCGAGAATCTCCAGAGAGCCGTAAAACCCAACAAGGTATCAGGAGCACAGGGGACAGGCAGAGGTCAGGCCACCGGGAGTCTAGGGAGCCGGGGGGAAGGAGATATGGAGCGGGGGCTTGGGGGACTAGGGCACTGAGGTGGGGGAGACGTGGATGAAAAGGAGGTGACTGACCCCCATTCTGCTCTGAGTCCTTCATTTCTTTTCCCTTTCTTCCTGCCTCATGGTCTTTTCCCTGCCGTAGAAATCATAGACTTACGGAGTGGCCGGGGCTCCGCAGTGCTCTGGGCTAGGTCTCCTGCGAGCAGAACTGCCCACCGATCCCCTGACAGGTGTTCCCCAGCCCGTGCTTGCAGTGTTTCCGTAGGACACACACCACTGTCAGTTAGTGAAGCCCAGACCTCAGCTTGCCCCTATGAAACCGGTGGGAGTGGAGTTGGACCACATGATCTCGAAGGTCCCTTTGGCCCACAAGTTCTACGAGTTGGTTCTTCCCAAGACTTGTATTTCCCAGGAGAAATGCTCCCAGTTCCATCAGCTGTTCTCTGTACCCCATTTTTCAGTGAGTTCACAGGCTGTTGGCCATCCTGGGGGAACCCTTGTTTCTTAGTGTCCTTCTTAAAGAATTAAACCCAAGATGCACCTTGGGTGGTTTGCTCAGTGGTTAGGGTGCCAGCCTGAAGTGTGAAGGGTCACAGCCTCGGTGCTGGTCAAGGGCGTGTACCTCAGTTGTAGGCTCGATCCCTGGCCCCAATGCAGGAGGCAACGAATTGATGTGTCTCTCTCACATCAATGTTTCTCTCTGTCTCTCCCATCCCTCCACTCTCTCTAAAAATCAATGGAAAAGATATCCTCAGGTCCGGATTAGCAACAAGAACAAAAAAAAGATGATGAGTGTGGTGTAACCCTGTGGTCCCCCTGCCCCCGTACCCCCCCCCCCCCTTTTCGGCTGCTCATGGTGCAGGTCTCCTCAGCCTCCCACGCTTTGGTGTCAGTTGTACCCCAGGCCCTTTCACACCAGCTGTGTCACCTCCCCCATCCTGTATTTATGCAGTTCTTTTATTGTTTAAAAAATAAGTTCTGATTGTCTTTGAAGGACTTCCCAGTTCTCCCCTTCAAATTCTACATTAATGTTTTTGGCTTGTTATTCTAGCTTTAAAATCTTTCCCGATACTGATGCCATTTCTTAGGTCTGCTGTAACAAATTACCACAAATGGGCCGCTTAAAACACAGAACTTTATTCTCTCATAATTCAGGAGGCTAAAAATCCAAAGTCAAGGTGTAGGCAGGACCTGGCTCCCTCCAAAGCTCTAGAAAGAACCCTTCCTGGTCTCTGTGGTCAGCGGCGGTCTCTGCATCTGTCCAGTTTCTGCTGCCACTGACCTGCCGTGGCCACCTTCCCTCTGAGTGTCTCTGGTTTCCATGTCTCCCTCCATGTGGACGCCAGTCCTGGGGTCTAGGGCCCATGCTAACCCTGTGTCACGGTCCTCAGTGTGGTCATATCTGCAAGACCCCATTTCCAGATAAGGACACAATCGCTTTGCGATTGCTGCCTCTCATGTCCTTGCTGTCTCTCCTCTCTCGATGTCTCTGTCCCTCTGTCCCTTCCCCTCTATCGCCATGCCCACCCACCTTGCCAGGACAACAGCCGCCGGGTGGACAACGTGTTGAAGCTGTGGATCATAGAGGCCCGGGAGCTGCCCCCCAAGAAGCGGTACTACTGTGAGCTCTGCCTGGATGACATGCTGTACGCGCGCACCACCTCCAAGCCCCGCTCGGCATCGGGGGACACCGTCTTCTGGGGCGAGCACTTCGAGTTTAACAACCTGCCAGCTGTCCGTGCCCTGCGGCTGCATCTGTACCGTGACTCAGACAAAAAGCGCAAGAAGGACAAGGCGGGCTATGTGGGCCTGGTGACTGTGCCCGTGGCCACCCTGGCTGGGCGCCACTTCACAGAGCAGTGGTACCCCGTAACCCTGCCGACAGGCAGTGGGGGCTCTGGCGGCATGGGGGGCTCAGGAGGGGGCGGGGGCTCGGGAGGTGGTTCAGGGGGCAAGGGCAAAGGAGGTTGCCCGGCTGTGCGGCTGAAAGCACGTTACCAGACGATGAGCATCCTGCCCATGGAGCTGTATAAGGAGTTTGCAGAGTATGTTACCAACCATTATCGGATGCTGTGTGCAGTCCTGGAGCCCGCCCTGAATGTCAAGGGCAAGGAGGAGGTAGCCAGTGCCCTGGTCCACATCCTGCAGAGTACGGGCAAGGCCAAGGTGAGTGCTGTGCTGGCGGGAAAGGGTGACCTGGGAGTGGGCATTCCCGTCTTCGTGAGGCTGGCTGTTCGGAAGCTGACGCTTGGATTTTCCCGGGCCCCAGGACTTCCTTTCAGACATGGCCATGTCTGAGGTGGACAGGTTCATGGAACGGGAGCACCTCATATTCCGCGAGAACACGCTCGCCACTAAAGCCATAGAAGAGTACATGAGACTGATTGGTCAGAAATACCTCAAGGATGCCATTGGTATGGCCCACCCTCAGGTTTCTTCTTCCTAAACCTACCAGATGTCCATCCAGCCCTAGACCTGGCTATCCAGACCCCAAGTCCACCCTTCCTCAGGCTTGATGCCTCTGACCCCAGAGTTTCTGGGTGCCAGCATCCAACCACCTGGTTCTGAGATTCCCCTGCCCAGCAGCCCCTGCCCCTGCCCCTGCCCAGAGTGTGATCCCGCTGTGCTCCGCAGGGGAATTTATCCGCGCTCTGTATGAGTCTGAGGAGAACTGTGAGGTGGACCCCATCAAGTGCACGGCGTCCAGTCTGGCAGAGCACCAGGCCAACCTGCGAATGTGCTGTGAGTTGGCCCTGTGCAAGGTGGTCAACTCCCATTGGTGAGACTGGGAACGCTGGGTTGGGGGTGGGGGCAGGGGAGCCGTGTGTTCATCTGTTCATCCATCTGTCCATCCTCAAAGAGGACTGAGGACCAGTTACGGGCAAAGCATTGGGCTGGGTGCAGTAAGAGCAGGCAGATGAGTGAGGCCTGGCCCCTACCTTCAGAGGACCTCCCCAGGAAGAGTAGGGACAGATTAGAGCTGCAAAGCAGTTGTAGGCTGTGCTAAGTGCCAAGTGAGGGTCCCCCCATGTAATATAAGGTCAGAGAAGGCAGGGCTTTGCGATAAAGCAGGGAAGGCTTCGCGGAGGAGGTGCCCGCTTGGCTGGGCTTTGAAAAGTGGGTCAAGTTCTGACGTTTGGATATGGTGGGGAAAGAAGACGTTTCAGGAGAGGGCCATGGCCGAAGGTGCGGCATGGTGAGCAGGCCAGGAGCTTTCAGGAGGCAGCGGTTAGCACGGTTTGGTGGAGCGCATGGCTGCCGATGGAGAGTGGTGGGACAGGTGTCTGGACAGGGGTTAGAACTAGAATCTGGAAGGCCTCGGTTGCCAGGTTAAGGAGGTTTGAGTTCGTTCGTAGGTGAGGGGCTGTTGTAGGTGATGGGCTGTCATGAATGGTGCTGGTGCCAAGAAGTATGGTGACTGAGAAGTAGGTAGAAGAAGTAGGTGGGGGTGGGGGTGCCGGGAGCCAGGAGAAGGAAGTCCAGGGTAGTTGGGGCTACAGTTGACCAGTCAGGCTTGGGGATCAGACCCCGAGGCGGTGTGGCAGGAAAGTGGAGAAGGGCTGGGGGAAAGACCCTGCAAGGAAAGGATCAGCAGCTTTTGTCAGCGATTGGAAAGGAGTACTGTGGCCTTAGGGACAAAACCACGGGAGTCGGGGGCCAGTCGGAGGTGTGGGAGTGAGGGTGAGCCCTGTTTTACCAGAGGCAGAGTTCAAGTGCAGCATGGAGCAGGAGATGGGGCAGTGAGCTCTGAGCCATTCCAGGGATGGATCATGCCTCATTTCCCTGGAATTCAGAAGAGTTGGGGGGTCCGAGCTCCCTGTACCTCAAGTGACCCTCCATCTCTCTCCCATCTCTGTCTCTCCCTGGTGTCTGTTTTTCTTCTCTGCTCGTCTCTCTCACACGACCCCTGTCTCTCCCACGTGTCTCCCGCCCCCCGCCTTCTCTGCCCTCCGTTTCTCTCCCCTGATCTGTCTGTCCCTCTGCCATAGCCCTCTTCTCCCAGCGGCCACCCGTCTTCCCCCTGCGGCCCCTCCCTGCCTGTCTCTCACCTGTTTCCACACCTGCACCTCCTGCCGCCTCCTCGGCATGTTCCCTGGAAGCTGAGGGTCTCTGGGGCTCAGTCCTGGTCTCTCTCTTTCTTTCTCTTTCTCTCTGTCTCCCCACCCCTCCCCCCAGCGTGTTCCCGAGGGAGCTGAAGGAGGTGTTTGCATCTTGGCGACTGCGCTGCGCAGAGCGGGGTCGGGAGGACATCGCTGACCGGCTGATTAGCGCCTCGCTCTTCCTGCGCTTCCTCTGCCCAGCCATCATGTCGCCCAGTCTCTTCGGGCTCATGCAGGAGTATCCAGACGAGCAGACCTCACGAACCCTCACCCTCATCGCCAAGGTCATCCAGAACCTGGCCAACTTTTCCAAGTGAGGAGGGTTCGGGTGGGGCGGGCAGCGAGGGTCTCCTGAGTGCCCAGAGGCCTGGGACACGGGGGTGTATGACCTTTGGTGTGTGACCTTCGCCTGGATGCCTCCGCAGGTTTACCTCAAAGGAGGACTTTCTGGGGTTCATGAACGAGTTTTTGGAGCTGGAATGGGGTTCCATGCAGCAGTTCCTGTATGAGATCTCCAACCTGGACACGCTGACCAACAGCAGTAGCTTTGAGGGCTACATCGACTTGGGCCGAGAGCTCTCCACACTGCATGCCCTGCTCTGGGAGGTGCTGCCCCAGCTCAGCAAGGTCAGCAGATGCCTCCTGCCCTGGCCCAGTTGTCTGCAGAGGGCCCTGCATAGCATGTCCCCACTGCCTGCCCCCAGCTCAGCCCCCTCCCCCTCTGAGGCCCTTGGAGAGCTGGGCACCTCGCCCCCAGGTAACAGCCTTCCCCTTCCAGGAAGCCCTCCTGAAGCTGGGCCCACTGCCCCGGCTCCTCAATGACATCAGCACAGCTCTGAGGAACCCCAATATCCAAAGGCAGCCGAGCCGCCAGAGCGAGCGGCCGCGGCCTCAGCCTGTGGTGCTGCGGGGCCCGTCGGCCGAGATGCAGGGCTACATGATGCGGGACCTCAACAGGTGAGCACTGCGGGACCCCACCCCTGTGTCCTGGGACCCCACCATTCTGTTTCCAATGCACTTCACTGGGCTCCACCTGCGTCTCTGTGGGGCTGGAAAGAAAGAGAAGCAGGTGTCTGAGGACACGGTGAGGAGGCAGGTCCAGGCAGCGCTAGGCTGTGAGAGCCCCCCAGAGTCAGGGGGCGCAGGCACTGTGAGCCCCAGGAGGTGAGCCAGCCAGGGAGTCCACTGCCGGCGCTGAGCTGGGGTTCAGCCAGTGCGTGTTGGATCAGCCATGTGGTGTCCAACCGGCCGACCCAGAATATCTCTGTACGAGTTGGAGAGAAGCACTGCCCCAGCCCCCACCGACCTCGCCACGCCCAGGGCTGGGGAGCCATACCTGGCCCCAGCAGGGCCTCCTGAGCCACCGCTCCGATGGGTGGCGCTCGCCTCAGTGGCCGCTCATGGTGATGGCCACCCTGCTCATTCCTTGCCTGCCTCTCCCTCCATGACGCCACATCCGTGCCATATTCCCCACCTCTCTCCTTCTCTGTCTGTGCTTGCCCCTCTTTCCATCTCTCTCCAGCTCCATCGACCTTCAGTCCTTCATGGCGCGAGGCCTCAACAGGTGAGGGGCTCTCCCCTCCCCTCCCCCTCTCCTGTCTCCCACTCCAGTGGCCTCCACCTTCCTTCTCTCCGCTCCTCCTCCATGCACCCTCATCTCCTCCACATCTACCCAGACTTGCTCCTCATCCCTCCACTTGCTGCCCCATCTCCCCTCCTCTAGGCCCCCCTCCCTCCCGGCAGGGGTCTTGTCCTTTCCTTTCCCCACGTGCCCCTCCCGTCCTCCCTGCCCGCCCTGCCCGGAGCTCTTAGCCCTTCCCTTGAGGGTCCCCCTTTCACCTCAGGGCTGTGCCAGACCACAGCTGGCTCCACTGCCAGTCGCCTGTCCCTCACCTCCCGCCGTGTGCCCCTT